AAGCGATTGGACTGATGAGTTGAAGGATACGTTTAATACTATGGTTAATAATATGGTTTTACCCAAGATTGATATGATATACTTTGATGGGCAACCGGGTCAGTATTACCGTTTCATTAGTTGGTTTAATAGCCTTATATAGAGTAAATTGTCAGATAAGAGCCAATTGTTGTCGTATTTGTTATACTATTGTAAGGGAAAGGCCAGGACGGCTATTGAAGCTTGCATTTCATTGCCCAGTCATTTGGGTTATGATAAGGCTTAACAGAATTTGTATGACCTGAGTAACTTAACCAAAAATTCTGTTAAAGGATCAGCAGATGGCTTAACTGACTTTACAATTAAGCTATGTAATGTATGCATAACATTGAAGGAAATGGAGTATATGTCTGATATGAACTCTCCGGCTAATTTGGAAAGAACTGTGTCATGTTTACTTCTAGAATTACAAAATAAGTGGGTGGAAGTTGCCGATAAGATCATGATGACCAGGAGGCAGCCGATCTCTGGAGAATCTGTGATCTTTGTAGAAGTAAGAGCCATGATTGCTTGAACAAGTTTTGGTAGATTGGTACATTGCAACTCAAAGTTCAGTAAAAGTAATTATGAAGGCAAAGTTGATAAGAGATCACGTTTTAATGTAGTTAAGCTGGAACCAAGCAACTCATTCACGGCTCTCAGTTACGAAACTCGCTTTGCTGATCACAAAGAGACAGATTGTATGAAGTTATTGAAAATGAGTGTTACAGAAAGGAGACAGGAAGTGAGATGTGGTCTATGTTACCTGTGTTTAAGGAAGGATCACATAGCCAAGTCATGCAACTCGGATATCAAGTGTGACGTTGGTAATTGCAAGGTTCTGCATAATTCATTGCTACATATTGATGGTACTAGTAACCGTGTAGTGAACTTAGTTAAGGATTGGAACTCGTCGTATGTTTGTTTGTGTATCATTCCGGTCAGGCTGTATGGTCCGAAGGGAACCTTAGAAACTTACGCTCTTCTTGATAGTGGTTCAGATACTTCTCTTGTATGTGAAGAGATAATTAATCAGTTGGGTCTTAAAGGTAAGGAGACTTCGATAAAAGTGACGACTGTGAATGGAACTACTACTTGTGGATGTCAGAAAGTAAATTTAGAGATATTTTCATTAGATGAACAGGGTTACGTGAAGATCAACAAGGCTTAAACGACTAAGAAGTTTCCGAGCGATTATTTGCAACGTCGGAAGGGTGATGTCTTTCAAATGCTTCCACGATCCCAGCTGTTCCTCGGTTAAAGGTTATACATAATCGATCGGAAACTTCTTAGTCGTATAAGCCTTGTTGATCTTCACGCAACCCTGTTCACCTAATGAAAATATCTCTAAATTTACTTTCTGACATCCACAAGTAGTAGTTCCATTCACAGTCGTCACTTTTATCGAAGTCTCCTTACCTTTAAGACCCAACTGATTAATTATCTCTTCACATACAAGAGAAGTATCTGAACCACTATCAAGAAGAGCGTAAGTTTCTAAGGTTCCCTTCGGACCATACAGCCTGACCGGAATGATACACAAACAAACATACGACGAGTTCCAATCCTTAACTAAGTTCACTACACGGTTACTAGTACCATCAATATGTAGCAATGAATTATGCAGAACCTTGCAATTACCAACGTCACACTTGATATCCGAGTTGCATGACTTGGCTATGTGATCCTTCCTTAAACACAGGTAACATAGACCACATCTCACTTCCTGTCTCCTTTCTGTAACACTCATTTTCAATAACTTCATACAATCTGTCTCTTTGTGATCAGCAAAGCGAGTTTCGTAACTGAGAGCCGTGAATGAGTTGCTTGGTTCCAGCTTAACTACATTAAAACGTGATCTCTTATCAACTTTGCCTTCATAATTACTTTTACTGAACTTTGAGTTGCAATGTACCAAAACTTGTTCAAGCAATCATGGCTCTTACTTCTACAAAGATCACAGATTCTCCAGAGATCGGCTGCCTCCTGGTCATCATGATCTTATCGGCAACTTCCACCCACTTATTTTGTAATTCTAGAAGTAAACATGACACAGTTCTTTCCAAATTAGCCGGAGAGTTCATATCAGACATATACTCCATTTCCTTCAATGTTATGCATACATTACATAGCTTAATTGTAAAGTCAGTTAAGCCATCTGCTGATCCTTTAACAGATTTGTGGTTAAGTAATTCAGTAATCAGATCGCGAGCAACCGCACATATATTTACATATATATGTGCAAATTAAAACGTATTCTGTTCCATTTTGTGTAGTATATAATAACTTGAATTTACAATTGATTTGTCACTAAGTGATGAGCTTTCTCATGTTTATTGACTACCTTCAGTCAGAACCTTACATTTGGTACCGAGTCACTTAAACCAAAAACTATATTGCAGTTTGATTGATAACATTTAATGAACATTAAAAACGGATTTAACATATATATATATATATATATATATATATATATATATATATATATATATAACATTACAAGAGGTTGTTCGCAGCCCGGATAGGTTGGTAATAATGCTTCTGAATGTGAGTCTTGGTGATAGAAGATCAAATCCGACAATGATAATTAATTTCCCGAGAAATAGAAATACAATTTGGTGACAAGAACTTTGTTGACGGTTCCCTATCGACTATATTCAACTCCAACCATAGTACTCACTAATATAATCAGTAACTAATATCACTGTCAACTACTTTTGATCACATTGCATAAAATGGTCCTTTTATTGTTGTCTAGTATTTTCAAATGTTTACATGAATCTGTAACATTTCGTTCATTTGGTATTGTAATTATATGTTTTTAGCATAGTCAATAGTTCATCCATTTCCATTATTAGCTGTGATTGTTGTATTGAAACAACTACTGACCATTATCTAGATTATCTAATGTATTTTTGTAAATACTTCACAAATAACTTGATGTATTACCTAGTTAGCAAAGACAAACAAACAATCAGCTATGATAAATAATATTATATCCTATGTAAATTATATTTCATCATTAATTTCACTGTAATCATATTCGAACTTTACACTATATGATTCCTCTGTATATTTTGTTCTTCAATAAACTACTACTCTAATCAAATGTCTAGTTTTCAATCATTAATTATAATGATGTATCACATGATCTAAAACTGTCTATTTAATCTCAGAGTATGATGACATAATCTGCCTATCACTACTGTCGCCAAAGGGTTAAATCATTTACTATATTTGTCATTAAAACACAACTTATACAGAAAATATTCTTCTTTCATTGTATATTTGACATGGTAAACATCCTAGATACTACATAAAATTGTGACTGATAAAATGTATATTACATAAATCTTGTCTCATTTTTTTTCTGATTTCACTATTTTCACTCACTGATCAATCATTTCTGGTCTTCAGATAGACAGAATCGAATTAACATCAAATCAAATTTATTGAATCGTGAATGCACACTACTGAGGAATCCCACAATAGGATGAAACAGTCATCAAGTGCTTCTAGGTTTCCAATGATGGTCTAACATCGATCAGTTCGTGATCTCAATCAAAAGTTTCATAGTCTTCTCAATCACATACTGATTATTTCAAATAATAAAGTTTTTCAATAGTTGATATCATGAGTCCATTGAAGCTATAGTATCATGGAAAATCTGGAAGCACTAGATGACCGCTTCGTCCTACTGAAATTACTACAATCTCTACAAAACCCCTTCTGATACTAGTCAACATATACTCACTAGTCACTGGTTTCAAGAGGTATATCCTGGAGTTCTAGTGGGAAGCAGTGACCAGTGGAGTTCAACTGGGTCTGTTGTGAAATAGTAACTCACTGATGACAATGGTGGATATGTCACTCGATTTCATGGATTAGTTGAAGCTAAACATTAACACGATTAATTACCGGTCGGCTCAATAATCTAGTGGTTAGGCGCTCTCGCGCGAGGCTGATAGGTCTTGTGTTTGAATTCCCGGGGCGAGGTTGTGGATGTGCACTGCTGATAAGTCCTATACCAAGACGAAACGGCCATCCAGTGTCTCCAGGTTTTCCATGGTGGTCTAGCTTCAATTGACCCATGATTTTAACTATTAAAATTAACAGTATAGGGGTTGTGGAGATTGTTAAGTTTTGATTGAGATCATGAACCGATTGATCTTAGACCACCATTAAAAACCTGAAAGCACTAGACGGCCGTCTCTTCCCATTGTGGAACTCCTCGGCAGTGCGCATCCACGATCCCGTTCGCAAGATTCAAACCCAGGGCCTTCAGTCTCGTATGCGAACGCTTAACCTACTGGATCACTGAGCCGGCATCCAATGATGTTAATGTCTAACCTCAACCAATCCACGAAGTTGTGCAACCATATTCCATCATACCGAGGTAGACACCTGTTTCTACCCGACACGGATTAGCTCCACTGGTAGAACTCCGAGAATTTTCTCACGAAGCTGGTCACTAGTGAGCACATGGTAATTATCAGTATAGGGATTATGGAGATTGTTAAGTTTTTGATTGAGATCATGAACCGATTGGTGTTAGAATTACTACAATCTCCACAAAACTTCTTCTGATACTAATAAACTTTCTGTTTGTTTGTTTGTTTGAACAAAAAAAAAATGGTGATAAACTTATCACATAAACAAAATCAAAATGTTTTCTTTTATTTCAAAATAAACACTTTCTCTACAGTTTTGTTTATGATTCAAGTACAAATATCAGAGTTGTTTTGTTGTCGTTTTTTTGTTGTTTTCTTCTTGTTTCATAAGAAAGAATCAATAAAATCTAAAGTGAGATTTATATGTTAAGAAAACTAGCTTCTTTTTTTCTTTTTTCTTGTTTCTTTCTTTTTTTTTCTTCTTTTTCATGAAACTCATGCGAAAATCTTGGAAAATATATTCAAACTAAACTTCAAAATAAAATAAAATAAATGTAATTAAAGACAATTATTCAAAGAAGATAATATACATCAAATCATGGAATGATTGATTTGTTCCATAGGTCTATTCTTCTCCTTATTATTATCATCATCATCATCAACATCATCATTATCAGTCTTGTCAACACTTTCAAATGTCGGTGAATATGCCCAAGATTGTTGTTCACTTGAACTAAATAATAAATATGTAATCATAGCAACAAATTGACTAAATGCTGCTAAACATAAAGCAACTCTCCAACCATTTTTTAATTCTAAACCAAATTTATGTACAACAACTGATGCGATAAATGTTGATAAAATACCTAAATGTAATAAGGAAAGAAAAAATAATAAAGTATAGTACATAGATTATTTCAATAGATGATAATTATTCTATGGAAAAGGAAAAAACGAATATTACGTAACATTAGATACTATTCACTTGATGTTGCTTTACTTATATCTTCTCATTGTTATTTAGGATTGTAATTGATCAGTCTCATGTTGGCATATGTGCATCCTGTGTGAATTGCCTCGATCAATTGAAGTCCCTAAATAACAATGGGAAGATAAAAGTAAAACAGCATCAAGTGAATTTAAACTTCACCTCATTACACAACCACGTGACTATCAGTAGATCTCAACATACACAAGGAGAAAAGCAAGATTCTCCGACACGACACAGCATGCACCAGTCAAATCACAATCGACAGAGAAGATTTGGAAGATGTAAAAATCTTTGCATATTTGGGCAGCATCATTGAGGAACACAGTGGGTCTGATGCAGATGTGAAAGCGCGGATAGGCAAAGCAAGAACAGCATATCTATAATTGAAGAACACCTGGAACTCAAAACAACTATCAACCAACACCACGGTCAGGATTTTCAATACAAATGTCGAGACAGTTCTACTGTATGGGTTGGAAACCTGGAGAACTACGAAAGCCATCATCCAGAAGATACAGTTGTCTATGCAAAATACTTCGAATCCGTTGGCCGGACATTATTAGCAACAACCTACTGTTGGAAAGAACAAACTAGATCCCAGCGGAGGAAGAAATCAGGAAGAAGCGTTGGAAGTGGATAGGACACACATTAAAGGAAGCACCGAACTGTGTCACAAGTCGAGCCCTCACATGGAATCCTCAAGGCCAAAATAGAGGAGGAAGACCAAAGAACACATTACTCCGGGAAATGGAGATAGACATGAGAAAAATGAACAACAATTGGATGGAATTATAAAAGAAGGCCCAGGACAAAGCGGGTTACAGAACGCTAATCGGCGGCCTATACTACATTGAGAGTAACAGGCGAAAGTAAGTAAGGTGATCGTCCTGGATTCCACTGCTAGCCGTTATTCATCTTTGCTTATTTGGATACTATTGGTTAAAGTGATCCGCAACATTTTAGATATTCAAATAATATCTTCAGTCAAAGACTTTCGGCCACTTTCCCATTCATTAAATATAGGAATGTAACATATTAGAGTGCAGTTTTTATTAGGTGATTCATTTTAAACACTAACTTTCAATTTATTTGTGTCTTTCACTCTTCATATTGTACTGCGCTGACAGTTGTGGATATTTCCAGAAGCTTTAAATGAAATCTCTAGTAAGAATTACACTTCAATATAGGAAAGATGACTAAACGTACTCTTCATAACATATGAACCTTTAAAACATGATAGATAAACTTCCATAACAATGTTTAATACATTCATAATCTCCAAGAAAACCAAAAAAAGTAAATTAAATTGTAATGAATGATCAGATGAAAGGTTAGTTTTAAAAACACACTAGATATAGAATATATGGATGTTTTTGATAGCGTTTTGTTCTCTGAGCTAGATGGTTTAGTCGTGGAGCTTTCATCCTTCTTCTAAACGACATCATCAGCACAAACTTCAGTAGACTTCTACCTAAAGTTTGTGCTGATGATGTCGTTCGGAAGAATGATGAAAGCTTCACGACTAAACCAGAGAACAAAACTCCATTAAGATCATCCACCTGAGCTACAAATCTCCACCCTTTCAATATGGATGTTTTAATCACACATACGATATAATATCTTATACGTTCATTTTCATAAATTTGGTTTCAAGTTTCCAATCAACGGAAAAAAATGTGTTGATAATTGTCTAAATGAAGTAATTCGACAAAACTATTCTGTAAAATTATATGCAAAGATGGATAGTGGCTAACGGTAGAATCCAGGATGCGCGCCTCTTCGTCCTATTTGGGACTCGTCAGCTGGATGTACCTGCATTCCAGAGTTGATGTTCACTCTACAATTCGAACTCAGTACCTTTCGTTTAAAACACCATCACGTTATCCACTTAGTTACTGAGTCCTGATAGCCACTTCCCTGTGCAATGGGATGAAGTTTAAATACACTTGGTATTGTTTCCTGTAAAATTGTTTACTAATTTCGTTAAAACAAATCTATCAAATAATATCAATAAACAATGTAATAGAGTATCAATGAGTTGTTTAATTGTTCACATTTCATAGGACGTCAATAATTCCTCAAAGATTGCATTTTATTAAAAAGTCCTAGTCACTGAAGCATTCGCGTTCAGATCATCTAGTCAACTTACCAGAAATAATCTGAAATCAAACAGAATGATCCGTGATGAAATATCCTTAAATGAAGTAATCTTAATTAAAGGAGGGTGTGTAGAATACAGGTAACTCTAGGAACTAGACAACACATTATTTGTTACTATTCACTTATCGATTATAGTATATTTGGTTTCTGAAGTTCTGGATGACAAATAATTGATTGACATGATATATAGGAGTTCACAGGTTTCATTAGTCTTAGTACAAATGATATGCCATGTGAGTTAAAATAGCAATCAAACAATTTAACAGTTGTTGTACTATAAAAATGATTGTTGAAGTAAGCATATGTATCCCCCTTACATGTGTGTTACACATCGTGGAAGAGCATATTCTGCCCACATTCACTCTCGATCCAATTCTGTCCTGACCATTTCTTTCCAGGTTTTCCCAGTTGTTATTTATTCCTTTCATGTGTGCTTCCGATTCTTGATACAGTGTGTTCTTTGACCTTACTCTTTTCCGTCTCCCTTCACGATTCCAAGTTAGGGCTTGCTTTGTGATGCAGTTTGATTATTTCCGTAATGTATGTCCTATACACTTCCAACGTCTTTTCCTAATTTCCTCTTCAGATGGAAACTGGTTTATTCTGTCTCACATTATGTTGTTGTTGATGTATCCGGTTAACGGATATTGAATAGACAATTGTTTATAAATACCTGTACATTTTTGATAATGTTTGTTGCAGTTCTCCACGTTTGAGCTCCATACAGTAGAATTGTCCCGACGTTCGTATTGAAGATTCTGACATTGATGTTGATTGACGGACAGTTGTTTTGAGTTGTAGATGTTCTTCAACTGTAGGAATGCTGTGCTTGCTTTGCCAATCCTCGCCTTTACGTCTGCATCCGATCTTCCTTGTTCATCGATGATGCTACCTAGATACGTGAACGATTTCGCATCTTCCAGAGTTCCTCCTTCATGTATCGTTGGGTTGGTGTTCTCTGTGTTGACTTTAAGGATGTTACTTTTTTCCCTGTGTATGTTGAGGCTTACTGATGTAGAGGCTGCTGCTACAC